GCCGCCGCCGCCGCCGCTGCCACCAGCCACCAGCACCACCACCAGCCCCGCCGCTACCTAGCAAGCTCACTGCTGCCCAAAAGCTCGCAGCCAGGGAACTCCAGCAGCCTATTTATCCGAGCCCCGGGAAAGCTCCGTGACGTAGCTGCCCATATATGGACAGACAAAGCCCAGCCGAAGGGGTGCGACGTCACAATGGAAGCTCCTCACAATGGAACATTAGAAAGCAGGAAGCGGGCCGCGGCCGACGTGCAGCGCCCGCACCGCTCGCCGCTCGGGGAAAAAAATAAAATAAAATAAAATAAAAAAGGCGGGGTGAGGGAAGGAGGAACGGAGGAGAGGAGAAGGGAGGGAGATGCGGGAGCAGAGAGCGCCGCGCCGCCGCGCAGCGCGCGCACTCCGAACCCCGGCTCTGAGGGTGTGCTTGGACTTCAGGGCTATGTTTCTGGGGGGGTGCTGCTTGCAAGTGACCCTCTGACACCTCCAGCAGGGAGACAGGCTTGAAAACGCCCGGCCGGGTCCCCTTGCAGCAGCTGACCGATTGCTGGGGCACCCGGAGGGCGAGTGCTCTGACCCGCCCCCCCGCCCCCTCCCCCCGGCCCGCGTTCAGGACCCTGCCTGCCCCGGACTGGGGGAACGGGAGTGTTCCCGTGAGACAGGGAGCTTCCAGCGTGTCGTGCTGCTGGGTCCAGGGTCCTGAGGACTTTCATGCGGACTTTACTCTGCCCGGCCGCCCACGCCCCTGCCCCTCCCTGGGCCCTCTGTGCGGACCCCCGGCGGGGCGCTGCGTGGCCCGGAGATCCGTAGCAGCCCAGGGCTGCACTGAGCAGGGGGTGGGGTGGGGCCAGAGCCCCGCACAGCGAGGTCGAGGATGCGCAGTTACGGTGGTGGAGAAAGAGTGAAGTTGAGGGCACCGACAACACGTGCACGCAGCTCGCTCCCCGGCAAATCTCCTAACGGTCCCACAGCAACCCCTTTGGTCACAGGGTGGCAGGAGGAGCCAGCAGCAGGCTCGGGCGCCGCCGCCGCCGCCGCGCGCCGCGGAGCCCACAGTCCGCGAGCCACCACGGCGGCCTCCCCCTCGCCTTCCACCGGGCTGTCCTCATGGCTGCCTGCGGGCGCCCCGCAGTCAAGGGAGGCCTGTGTGCCGACCCGCGCGGCGGCGGATTCCGGGGGCGGCTGCGTTCCCCGGGGCCTGCTCTAGGAGCAAGCGCGGCCGGGCGGCGGGAGAGGGGGAGAGCGCGGGAGCCTGGGGAGGGGGGGTGCGACCCCAAGTCACACCGGCTTGGCGCGGGAGGATTCCCTCGCCGGTGGCCGCGTGGGCGCGGTGAATCCCGCGTCCCCCGCCAGCGACTCGGGGTCGGGGGGCGGGGAAGG